TATAGCTATCAAGTCATATTGTAAGTCAAAAGCATACAATCATGTTGTGTGTCTTGTTACTATTAATCTATGGAAGCATATTGGTAGCGAAATTCAATTTAAAATGCAATATGCAAAATGGCAATGCAATATTCAAAATGGCAACGCAATATTCAAAATGGCAGTGTATTTCTGTATTTAAATTTACATTTTCCATTAGCCATACGTGTAAAGTTTGGTGCAAAAGTAAAATGAAAATTAAATTATATAATTTACATTTGCCATTTCCAACAGTATATAATATGTAAATTGCATGCGCATTTGAACGCTTTATAAGTTGTGAAATGAAAATGAAAATGTATAATACAAATTGATTTGATATGTGTAACATGTTCAAGCAGAAATGGTAGCAAAATGATCATTTAAATGCTATTTGTCCTAAATGCATTTAGACTAACAGTTAGAACACTTAGGATTGCATTTTCATCATGACGCCGTGGGATATTTGTAGCAAAATTCTATTTGAAAATGCATTCCGAGCTGACCACGCCCCCCCTCCGTCAATCATTGCTTCAAGGTGGGGATTGGCGGAAGCGTGTTACGTTTGGATCGTTTGAAACACGGCTGCTGGAGATCTGATAAGATCGTTGAATTCACTGCAGATGAAGTGGAGCGAATATTGCATTGCCATTTTGCATATTGCATTTTAAATTGAATTTCGCTACCTATATGCTTCCATATTAATTGTCCTTTGAATATTATTATTAATGGTCGATTTTCGTGTCCATTGGTCATCAAATCCTTTGTAAATACCACAGCTGTCATCATTAAAGGAGATGCAGAATTATTTTCCATGGGATGAGTGCTCACTAAACCATTCCAATTCATTCCAAGCATTTTAATTAATATTTCCAAATATTTCTCATTTTTTTATGAACTGTTGATTATATTAATATATTGATACATCCATTCGCATGGGTAGTTATAATAATAATAGAAATCAAGTTGGTGATGTATTTCAGCTGGTGTTTTGCCCTTTACAAACTGCACAGCTCAACATTTGACCATGATCAATTGCATGCCTTATAATGTGAACTGAAATTGCATTTCAAATCAATTTAATTGTAATCCTGTATTTAGTCTCATTAAGGTGCTCTAAGAAGCTATACTGTGGATTATTCCTGATGAGTGATAACGGATTGTGTAATACATCCTTTCATCGTGCTAGCAGAAGTACCTGTCAGAAACAAATGTGCAAAAAAGGGTGTTAAAAAAAAGGTTCAAAGATGTCCCTATGAGGGTACTGCCCCCGTGACAAACTGTTGTACCCATTAAAACTACAATTTTGCACTTTTTTTCTGACCGTGTAAAAATTATATAAAATATGGATGCTCTCTATTAGATCAGTGGGTAGCCCACAGTAATAGTTCTGTTATGTTCTGAACTTGTTTCCACTGCTGTCTGTCTGCAATCTATCCGTCATCCATCCGTTTCTCTGTCTGTTTATTTAACTATTGATCTGTCTGTGTAAATCTGTCTCAACACCTGGAGTTTGTTTCTGGTTTTCCTTGAATAAAATGATGTGTTTTTTTTTATATCCATTCACATGTCTAAAACCTGAGGTGGGATTTGAGGCAGTCTGATCTGTCTAGCCAGGGTTGGACAACCTGACAGCCCTCGTGCCCATTCTCACTCGTTCTCTGGCAGTGAGTCTCCTCCGGGACTCTAAAACATGGGTGCCTGGATTGCCAATGAGAGCATGAGGCTCTGATTCTTATTTCAGGTGTTGCTTTGAGCCAATGTGTGTGAGTTTGTGTTATTACAGGGGATTAGCTGGTAAGCTTGTGTGTTTGAGACTCACGTCTCTCTCTCTCTCTCGCTCTCTTGTAAATCAATGAGATTTTTTTAAGCATATAACAGACTACTTACATTTTAATAAATAAAAAACATAAATATCAGTTGTCATATAATAATATAAAACTAAAAACTAAGCATTTAAATATTTTACTGTAAGACATATTATTAGGAGTAATAATATGTCTTACAGTAAAATATTTAAATGCTTAGTTTTAGGATCAAAGCTCTGTAGTTTTTATTGTGGGGGCAAACGCACATGACTGAGAGACATACAAATAAATAATCCTAAAAAGCCTGATGTATCATATTTGATACTCACATTTGATTTTTCTAAAATATTATGTATGGATAATCATGTAAACCTGGACTTGCTTCAGTCCAATAAGTGATCTGAAATATTATAATATAAAAGTTATTCTGAAATTTACTTTATAAGCATCAGTATCACAATCTGAAGGTGGACATTTTTCAAGGCCTTTTACATGCTAATAAAAAGCACAAATGACAGAAGGCATAGATTTCATCCAACAGGTTTTTCAGCAAAGTTTTGATCATTGTAGTAATTTAGAGTCCTTGGAAATGTGCATATCAAAAATGATACAGTAACCTTTATAGGGTTCCCTCACAAACACAATTTATCCACTAATGCGAACTCAAACTAACAGCTAGCTTACATATCCATACTGCTCTTAACACCAGTGATCTATAAGGAGGAAGAGATAAGAAAAAAAATGCTTATAGAAGCAGACAACTAGCATTCTGTATACCATCTATACTGTATATTGAATGTTGATTTCACCACACCAGGATAAACCAGCCATGCTGACCTAAACTGGTCTTTACACCAGGATATTTAGTGCAGCCAAAGAATCTGGGAAAGAAAAACACATGGCAAGAGCAGAATGGATGAACAGAAAACACTCAACTAAGAGAGAGGGAGTGCGATGAAAACTGTGGAGGAGAGAGAACAAACAGGAGAGAGTGAGAGAGAAAGGAGCGCTAATAAACACAGACTCTGATTGACTCGTCCGGTACCGTCACCTAGGCTTTGTTTTCACTCCTTCAAGCCTGCTCTCCCCTCTGCTCCGCTCCGCTCGCTGGAATGTCTCTGTACGTTCTGCTCTGCCTCTCCACCCCACCGCATATATGAATGATGGGGAGCTCAGAACATGTAACTAGACCAAAAAAACTGGAGAATGAACAAATTATATTTGAGACAGTCTTTTCTGTTTTTGCCTGACCAGGAATGAAAGAGGTCATGTGCGTAAAAAAAAAAAAAAAAAAGTTTTTTTAAAAAGTGACGTGACATGTGGCCACACACACACCCGGAACAGTGGGCAGCCATTTTTTTGCTGCGGCTGCCCAGGGAGTAGTTGGGGGCTCAGTCGTAGTATTGAAGGTGGAAGAGAGCGCTGTACATTCACTCCCCCCACCTACAATCCCTGCCGGTACAAGACTCAAACCCACAACCTTTGGGTTACGAGTCCGACTCTCTAACCATTAGGCCACGACTTCCCCTTACTTAAAGCAGGTGTGTATGTGTTTGTTCTTGGTGTGTTTAACAGGAGACAGCGCGATTACTAGAGTGTTAGTCTCAGCTTCAGACGTCACGCCCACAGAACGTTGGCTAAACGTCTGATGCATATGGCACACAAAAGTGGAAACACTTCAGGAGTTTTGAAGTCGTCATCGGATTGGTTGAATTATACAGGATTTCCGGGAGGAGTGTGTGTCGCGTTCTGTAACGTTCCACCTGGAAACAAAGATGCCGTGTCGCCAAACCCCCTCACGAAAGAAGAAAGCCGTCGTGTTTACAACTGTGACGACGAGCGCTTATCAGGATCAACTAAAGCTGGATTTTCAAAAGTATGTGAAATTTAAAGTTCGCGGCACAGAATCTTTAAAATACGTCCGAGAGTTTTACACACCGGTCTGCTATTGTGGCGACATTGCTTTAAACACTTTTTTTACAGCAGTATTCCTTTTAGATAGTAGCAGTTAAAATATTTCTTGTAAATTTCAACTTATAACATTAACGTTATCAAATTGAATATAAAACCAAAGCTATATTTGCCACTGCCAGGGCATTCACGTTTTTATAGAAACAATTTTATAGTTTGTTATAGAAAAACAAATTTTGCTCAGAGTCCAGAGCCTCGATCATACCATTATGACAGGCAATTTCCGAGTAGAGACCGGCACCATCACGCAGTGTTGCCAATTTGGGGATTTTGTCGCCAAATTCAAAAAATGAACATCTTGTTTTAACCACAGACACAAAAGTTATACCACAATTCATGCACAGTCATATCAACCAGATCATCGTGTCATGTGTGCTGGGATGCAGTATTTTGAACTTCGTTTGTAGTAATAGAGTGTGTTGACTGAAATAGGTTTTTGTTTTTGGAGAATCATAATATCTCTTATCTGTTGTATTTGAGCAGGACAGGGATGCACTTTGGTGACCCTTAAAACAAATTCCCAACATTATGTGTCTTTCCATCATTTCCATCATGTTTGATGTGCTTGCAGATCACAAGCCGCGTTTCGTTTAGAGCCCTGGCTCTGTTGGAAGAGGTGGGCCAGAGCGCGGTTCACTTGGGCTCGGGCCTCGGGCGCGGAACTTCTGATACGTGCCGCATGATTGCGTGAACATTTCTGAGCCGTAAAAGTGATAGATCTGTAAAGCAATATATTGTGAGAGGGTCGTGTGTTACCGTGTCCCAAACGACTCAAAATAATAAACCACAAAGTTTTTAGTTTTTAAAAGTCATGATGTTCTTTGATAATGTAGCCTAAGTTCTTTGTTCACTTTCTCTCTGTAATTTATTCGCTGTGAATAAAAGTGGAAATTAAATTGTGATCACGTTAAATACAAATTCCGTGGTATTAAAATATTTTATGACATGACACCCATATCTGGTACTTGCCTAAAAAGATGGGTTTGTGATGTGCGTAGTTATTAGTCTAAACATTAGCTTCTGGAGTTGGCTCACCCTCCGCCTGTGTCTGAGTGAGAGAGTATGCTATTACTCCGGGCGCAGACTCCCGAGTCAGAGTTAACTGACCCACACGGTGACTATATTGACGTGCGCTGCAAATGAGAGTAAAAATCTTTTCTCTCTCTCTCTCTCTCTCTCTCTCTCTCTCTCTCTCTCGTGTATCAGACTTGATATAAGGTCAGTATGAAGTATTATGAATATATTCAGTGTGAAGAACTCAAAGTATTATGGTACAGAAAGACTTCATAAGGTCTGTTAGCATTTGGTCAACAGGTTTTGTATGTCCATGTTGTGTCTGAATTAATTAAACTTTAGCTGCACCAGAAATTGCCTACTTGTCACTAACAGCGTTGATCTGGATCCCTCTTATTATCATATTAATCATGAAATATGTATAGAAAAAAGGGCAAAATTATAAGTCACTGCACATAAAGTCCTCTGGTCTGATCAATACCAGTGCATAGCATTAGATTGGATTTTTATAAGCTGTTCTAAATGTGTTGATGAATTTGAGTGTTAATTATTAAAGGGTAGATTCACACACTCTCTGAGTGTAATGTTTATCTACTCTAAGCTTTTTGTATGGTGTATTTGCCTTTCTGAAGTTGGGAGACGTATATTTTGGTTTTGGTGCCATCTGTGCGCTTGAACCAGACCTCTCCTGTGCTGATCCCTGTTATTACGGCCCTGAGAGAAACACACAAAACAGGGAAACCATTTCAATTGAAATGCTTTTGCAAACAAAGCCAAAGCGAAGACAGATGCAGTCTTATGTTTTATACTCTACTGACTGTGCTGGGCTGTCGTCATTGACTTCTAGAACGACACTGCTGCCTTTGGAGAATCTCTCTCCATCATAGAAGAGATCCCCACCTTCACATCGCACGGGCACCTGCCTGTCTGAGAGACAAACAGACACACACAGCTCTTCAACATGTTATGCTTTAATAGCTCATAATGCTCTAACTCTGTTTTCAAGGCATTTTATGTCACTGTATAGGGCTCTCTAGCTCTGAAGTGAAATTGCTGTCATTAAATGGTTCACAGACGCGAAAAGATTGCTGTCACTGGGGCAATACTTTTTCAAAAGGTACACCTCTGTACTTTATTTACCTCTGAAGGATGCAAATTAGTACCTTAAAATGTACTGCTGAATGTACTGACAAGCATTTATGGAAAACTAAAATATACTTTAATGTAATTAAAATGGCATTTTATTTCATTAATATATTATCAGCAAGTATATTATCAGCAAGTACAGAAAGAGGGAAATGGCTCTATAAACCAAACTTAATCAGAGGCCAGACAGATAGAGCTTGTGAGTGAGGGTCAGCGCTAATGGAAGCAACTGGGATGTCCATGGAGAACATGCTTAAGCCTTTGACACATTTAAGCTAGAGACAGACAGTAACACTATACATGTTGTGTGTGTTTGTCTAGGAGTCTGTGCGTATCCCTGAAGGCATGTTTACTAGGAAGTCTTATACCAGATAAAGACCCCCATTATTCAAAAACATGCATCAACACATACAAGATACTCAAAAACAAACATGAACCTTGAATTAAAAATGATTATGCAGCATTATGCAATTACATTTTTGAAGTAAGAGAGAATCCTATATTGCACTATGAAATCTATTCCAAGCTTGTCGTGAGAAAGAAATCATTGGTTAAATATATTTAACCCGAGGCAAGGTCTCTGATGGTCAGCGCACGTGATTTCCTTCAATAAATATTCAATGAGTTAATTCAGTCACTTGTGTCAAAGTTTAATGAGGTTCACCTGACTACCATGAGATCCTTGATCTCCCAGTGTAGCTTCCTGAGAAAGACCGACAGGCAAGCTTAAACAAAGGACTTAAATGAACACAGGGCCATTTAATAACGGACTTACTGTCTGCTTTTTTCTTCAGGGGCATCAGTGCCGCTTTTGCCTGAAAGACAGAAAGAAAAAAGTCACGATCCATCACACACATTCACTGTGAATCACTCATCATGAATCACACCTTCTTGATGGCTGTCCAGTCCTCTAGTATGTCAATGTCTCTTAGCATATACACTATGTATGGCCCTGAAAAACAAAGACATGTTGAGCAAGCAGGATGGGAAGGAAGACAACTTCTTCAAACAAAGTGTGGATAAGAGGTATAGCATTTTGGTTAAAGATCTAATCTGGCAACTGGGCGATTTGTTGAGGCGATGTGTTGTGTTTTGTATATCGGTGTCTCTACCATGCTACTTAACTAGCTTCACCAGCAAGATTCCCATTTTCAGCATCTTTTGAAAGATTAAAAAGACAAAACTGGCATAAACCGTTTTGGACTAGTTTGGAAATTCCCGTGAGGTCGAGCCTCAAAATTTCTTTCCCAGAAATGGTCCAAAAAAAAAAAAGATAATTTATACTGTTTCAGGAGAAAGTATGTTGTACGGCAATACAATGAATGTTAAGACAGATACATTATTTAATGAAACGAAATGAGCCATGTGTGATCATTCCTGTATCATCACACTGTCTGATGTGGACCGCAGTCTATTAATTGGTGGCCTCTGATGAACTTTCTAAATGTAATGTAAGACCTTTTGGATTAAGTGTCAGATAAACAACTAATTAGTATGTGTTGATTAGGGATGCACTGATACCACTTTTTCCAGAACGCATCTGATACCGATACTTTTACTTTTGGTACTTGCCGATAACGATATCTGTATTTTCATAGTATTTGTAATTTTGAAATATATTGGGTACAGAAAAATATAAAAATATGAATCATGTTAGCTGGCTTTATTTAGCAAACAGATATTTCTTACAGCTATTTTCACACATAATTATGCCCGTTCAAATGATTTTCATCATTTGAAACGTTCTGCGACTTATATTCAAAACCGACTCATTTAATGCAATTAACGTAAAGCAGGCAAAACATTCGCAACGCACACACACATTTGTATTGGTGCCTAGCGCATTTCTCACAGGCTGCCAGTTCCATATTCACTTTAAATAAAGTCGTGCATGCTTGACGTTTAAAATAAAAATAGTTTATAGTTAATGCCCCTATAATTTTTTAGTTTTAGTTTATGATTTAGTTTTAATACAAACGATCCATGAAACTTTTTGTTTTACTTGCTTTTGACATATCCGACCGAAATTCAAACTATCCAGTGATCTCTGTGAGAAAGGGATATTCGCACAACAAGCTCGTGCATCTCCGCTGCCGCTCGCTCAATCCACTCAGCATGCTTTGCTTATCAGCTTACACATCAGATATACTGGCGTGAATATTGAATGTTTAGCATTATATTAATTACTTACATGTTCTGTACTTCCTAGATATCCTTAATCTATAATAACTCCATTCTGCTCTCTGTTGTTCTGTTGTCGGTGTTTCTTTGTCTGGACTAAGGTGACCAGATTTCTGAAATGAAAACTGGGGACATTTCCTAGCTCAGTGGTAAAAGTATCACTGAAATCTCACTTGTGATTATCTACGAATTTAAAAACGGGGACAATATGTTTTTGTGTTTTTTTAATTGTTGTGGGTTCCATACATTAATATCATAATTGACACTGTGGTGTTTGAGGATCAAACTTCCCCCTAATTTTTATTTTTTTTATACAATTCACCAAAAATCACACTGAAAAATAGTAAATAGTAACTATTGCAAATAGCCAGGGGTGTAAAAAGTCCACTCCCTGGTAAGAACATCACTAAACATGATTTATAATGAATTTAACATACAATGCTCATTTAAACACGTTTTGGAAATTTGTAACATTTAATTTAAAAAAGCTGTCATCCCTACCAAAACATGAATTGTATTTAAATTCTCATCACTGATAGTATTTGCACTCAGCCATTTTGTGCATTCAGCCAATATACTACAGCTAACAAACATATAAAATTTGACAAAAATAATGATTTTTCTTGTTATATTTTTTTTTTGAAGGGGAAAAAACAGCAACTTTGCTACCTCAACGTACACAAGTATCTATACAATTATCTACTACATGCCTTTTGCTGTCTGATTGATAGTTATTTTTTTGGCAAGTTAAAGGCCTTTTATTATGATTCTAAACACATCTCCCTTCAAGTCCCAGTAGACTTGACATTTGTACACTTGCTGTGAAATCAGCTGTGTAAATACTGATTTTTATCAAATAAACGTAAGAATAACTGGACTGAAGCAACTTAAATATACTTGATATAAACACAGTTTTTAGAATAATCACATTAAATTGTACCAAATAAGATACACCAGGCTTTAGACAAATGTTTTTCTATATCTCTTAATCATCATTACATTGCATTGTGTTATATGTTTTGCCCCAAACAATAAGAACTGCAGAGCTTTGATCGTAAAACATTTAGATAAACAAGCATTTAAATGTCATTTTATTAAGACATTATTGGGAGATACAGAGTGACTACTGATATTTATATACAATTTATGTTATTAGTCTGCTATACGGTTATAAAGAGCTCATTGATTTACAATACAAGCTGTCAGAATTTCATCTTACCTCTGGCTATATAAATATCAGCAACTGCATATTGTCATTAATTAATCATTTTTCATAACTCAGTTACACTAATATCTTAATTTTTACACTATAATACTTGTATTTAAATTAATTAATTAATACTTGTTTCAGAAGTCATTGTCAATACATTGTGTGAAATGATTGTTTGTTCCTTACTGTTACTGTGAAGCGTCCTTGAGCTTGGGAAAGGCACTATATGAATTAAACAAATTATTATTATTAATCCAGTTAATACCATCATTTTACTTTATTATTATTTCATCAATGTAGTTGTTTCATTGCAGGATGATGTCTATTTTATGTTTGTTGTGCAGCACTTTGGTTAGCACTCGTTTAGCTTTTTAAGGTGCTATATAAGCAAACCTTGACATTACACACCTCAACGCAAAATCTAAATATTAAGTAAAAAACAAATGCAAAAAAAAACAGACCCAAACCTGCTTTTAAACAGTTTGACGAGCCCCGTTGTTTTGGGTTAAGTAGCGCATCTCTATTAAGGTTAGGGATTCAGATGGAGTAATAATATTGTAGACATCAAGTGTGCCTCACAAGTCTTGAAAAGTGAAGCCAAAAGTTTTGATCGCCCCCGCCCTCTCCATGTAATCTAATGGGACATGAGACAAACTAAATAATACAACTTCACTTCAAATAATTTTTTTTCCAAAGATGGTTTTTGTCATTTTATGTAGTTTTTATCACGCCGATGTAAGTTCAAGTGTTCGATTTTTAAATACGTTTGTTTTAGTTAGTTATGTGGTGCTATAAAAAGGGGGGTGTGACGTCATGATTGACAGCTGAGATTGACAGCTTCTCTGAGCGAACTGAGGCACCAACAAACTTTTTCGGGATCTTCAGGAGACTGGAGTTGTATTTACCTTATTTAAACAGAAGCCTCTTGTACGGCAATCAGCAGACAAAAATTGGAGCAGTCGGGCTAATTAAAAAAGGGTCAGGGGCGTGTGCTTGCGATCGACTCTACCGGAGTGTGGGCGGGACGCAGCTCCACTTCGCTCACTACTGCGCAGACTGGTCCCAAATCAGCCCAATATATCCGCGCCCTATTGAGACATTGGCGGCTTCACTTTTCTTCAATGGAAGTGAGTGAAGGTGTGCCATCCATCTTTTTTACAGTCTATGGCAGACATATATCCCTACTCTGATAGCCAGGTAAATGTGCGTGCGTGCGTGTGTGTGTGTTTATGTACCTGAGGTGATATCTATGCTCTGTTTGTCCTCCTCCAGTCTGCGGATCTTCTCCAACAACTCTGTTTTCATGGCATCAAACAAGAGTGTCCTCTCACTCTAGAAAAACAAGCATCTCATTATCACACACACACACACCGACTCGATATGATTCATGATCATCACTGCACTGTCAACAAACAAACACACACTGTTTTGGAAGAGACATGCAAGTATTTATTTACAGCAGTGCTTTTTCACTGTGGTGTGTTTTTTAGTGATACTTCTTCTAGATCAGTGGTTCCCAACCACATTCCTGGAGGCCCCCCAGCACTGCACATTTTGCATGTCTCCCTAATCAAACACACCTGATTCAAGTCATCAGCTTATTAGTAGAGACTCCAAGACCTGCAATGGGTGTGTCAGACAAAGGAGACATGCAAAATGTGCAGTGTTGGGGGGCCTCCAGGACCGTGGTTGGGAACCACTGTTCTAGATTATGATAAATATGCTGTGTGCATGTTTGTTTTATGGATCTGCATATCGAAATGTTTCATTACTATGTAAGTTTGTCGAATCATACAATAGTACCATGGTATTACCATGTTTTTTAAGCATGGTACCAATGTAATGACATTACGTAACAACTTTTTTGTACCATGAAATTTCTGAAATACCCTGTAGTACCATGTAAATTCCATGGTACATGAATATATATGACACATCATTTAGTACCATAGTAACACAGAAGTAGCTTTTAGTAAAGGATGCTACATCTAGATATGTGGGTCAGCTGAGCCGTGTTACCTCTAGATGCTGTCTTGCCCCCTGCACTTCACATTCATGTTTGTGTCTGACCACTTGCAGACAAAGTTTTCTATACACACCTACAGGAGGAGAATTAAAAGATGACCTGAGACCTGTGGTTCATATGTAAGCGAGATAACATAGAGCAGATATGTGCGTCCTGATATATGTCACCTGCCACTTGTGTCCTCTGCTGTAGGTTCTGCTGCAGTGTTGCCAAGGGTTCTCTGTACTCTCCCGCCTTTCCTGTCATAACCTCGTCCAGCTTCATTTTAACCTGGTTCAGACGTTCTTGAAAAAGCCTGAAATTGTAGTGGAAATCATCATCAATAGAGCTCTACAGAGAATTTGGTTCTTAGAAAAATATAATTAGTTTGAACAATACAATACAGAATATACTATTTTTATTGATGGCCATCCACCCCATATGATGGCCCTGTTCCTATTGGTCAAAAAAATGAAATGCCACCTAGCCTAAACCCAATTAGAAAGAAGTATTCGTACTTGTCTTTTAACTCCAGGAATTGTTTTTCCAGGTCAGACATTTCATCTAAGCACTGTAATCGTCTTCTCTCACAATCTTCATCATCCATTTCTAAAAAAGAGAAAACTCACTCTCATTCAATGTTGTTCATCCATGCTGTTCATTCTCTTTTCCTATCAATTCCAGTCAGTCTTCACATTAATATACTAAATTCTATGTATCACTATATGATCATTTTTGGCTATTTGGATGCTATTCAAAAGCAATATGCATTCAAGTTACAAGATTTGCGGGAATTTGTCAATTGACAAAAAAATTAAAAGAACATTTCAAAAGTAAAACAAAAAGGCTTAAGTGTCTTTATGCAAAATATAACACAATATTATAACATATGTAATAATCATTTTTTTGGTTGAGGGGGAGGAGGGTTAGGGGGAGGCGAACTATTACTCTCCCAATGCAACCCCTTTGACAGCTGCTGCAACACAACTGCAGACAGTTAGGAAGAAAACAACGAGGAAATGATGAAACATTCAATCAGCAGACCTGAACTTTCTTCCTCTTCTTCCTCTTCCTCCTCTGGCTCACTCTCCTCCAGGTCGCTGTCCCGCTCCTCTCCACTCTCCTCCATTGTCTCCTCTGCCTCTCCTCCCTCTCGCTCCTCCTCCACCTCACCGTTAGTTTGAGGAACCTCAGGGTCGGCCTCTGTCTCCATCTCCTCCTCTGGTTCTCTGGCAGCCGGCTGAGCTGGCATGACTGTTTATAGCACTGTATTGAACAGTATAATAACAGCGGTGAGATCTCATGGCGTCTGATGCAGTAAATAAAAATGTTAACTATTACAATTTTATAATATATGATTATATATCATTTATATTGAATTAAATGTTAGAATAATACTGCATATTTTCCATGTTTATATTTTCATATTTCTTATTCACCTTATATCTTTCTAGGCTGTATGATTTCAAACATTGTAGCATAAAAAGAACCATATATGTCAGTACCTGAAGATGTGAAAATGATGTGCATGCCATGTACTGACCAGTCTTAAGACCTTTAGAGGACACTAGCAGCTAAGAGCACAGTATCCTGAGACAGCAGCAGCTGTTTAAGACCCTATTAAGCACTTTATGTTTAATTAGAAAGAGGAAACCCCATGCACTCGTCTGATTCAGTTCGTAGTATGATGAATTAGGAGCGAGTTCAACTTCACAGACTCGACGTGTATCATGTACGTTACATCCTCCAAAGGCCGCACTGCACTGACTTACATTACAAGCTCATTACTCGTTCTCCACATCTATAGCTCATACATTACATGCTGTGAGAGACATTAATAGTTACAGTCTCGTGCTGTTCACAAAGAATTGTGGATTTAGGTTAGTTATAAAAACTCGTTTTCCAACTGAACTACTCCACACTTCATTCAGAGACATGAAGTGTTCAGTATAACGCGGTACAGTAATGTTAATGCACTAGAGTGGGAAAAACAAACGGTTGTGCCTTTATAAAAAAAATCTCAATTACAACGTAGTAATGGATTAATTTAACGTTACTTTGGAACGTTGCATTGAATCTCTTGATCGCTCCATGAATGTTTGCAAATTAACCGATGCAAGAAACAGGATAACAATACACGACGGTCTTACAAGAGCATAAACAACTAAACAGCTTACCTTCTTGTCGATTATTGTTTAAGTCATGAAAAATATCACATACTGTCGACTGAATTTGCATATCAGGGCAAGCTGACATCGGACACTGCACATTTTGCATGTCTCCCTAATCAAACACACCTGATTCAAGTCATCAGCTTATTAGTAGAGACTCCAAGACCTGCAATGGGTGTGTCAGACAAAGGAGACATGCAAAATGTGCAGTGTTGGGGGGCCTCCAGGACCGTGGTTGGGAACCACTGTTCTAGATTATGATAAATATGCTGTGTGCATGTTTGTTTTATGGATCTGCATATCGAAATGTTTCATTACTATGTAAGTTTGTCGAATCATACAATAGTACCATGGTATTACCATGTTTTTTAAGCATGGTACCAATGTAATGACATTACGTAACAACTTTTTTGTACCATGAAATTTCTGAAATACCCTGTAGTACCATGTAAATTCCATGGTACATGAATATATATGACACATCATTTAGTACCATAGTAACACAGAAGTAGCTTTTAGTAAAGGATGCTACATCTAGATATGTGGGTCAGCTGAGCCGTGTTACCTCTAGATGCTGTCTTGCCCCCTGCACTTCACATTCATGTTTGTGTCTGACCACTTGCAGACAAAGTTTTCTATACACACCTACAGGAGGAGAATTAAAAGATGACCTGAGACCTGTGGTTCATATGTAAGCGAGATAACATAGAGCAGATATGTGCGTCCTGATATATGTCACCTGCCACTTGTGTCCTCTGCTGTAGGTTCTGCTGCAGTGTTGCCAAGGGTTCTCTGTACTCTCCCGCCTTTCCTGTCATAACCTCGTCCAGCTTCATTTTAACCTGGTTCAGACGTTCTTGAAAAAGCCTGAAATTGTAGTGGAAATCATCATCAATAGAGCTCTACAGAGAATTTGGTTCTTAGAAAAATATAATTAGTTTGAACAATACAATACAGAATATACTATTTTTATTGATGGCCATCCACCCCATATGATGGCCCTGTTCCTATTGGTCAAAAAAATGAAATGCCACCTAGCCTAAACCCAATTAGAAAGAAGTATTCGTACTTGTCTTTTAACTCCAGGAATTGTTTTTCCAGGTCAGACATTTCATCTAAGCACTGTAATCGTCTTCTCTCACAATCTTCATCATCCATTTCTAAAAAAGAGAAAACTCACTCTCATTCAATGTTGTTCATCCATGCTGTTCATTCTCTTTTCCTATCAATTCCAGTCAGTCTTCACATTAATATACTAAATTCTATGTATCACTATATGATCATTTTTGGCTATTTGGATGCTATTCAAAAGCAATATGCATTCAAGTTACAAGATTTGCGGGAATTTGTCAATTGACAAAAAAATTAAAAGAACATTTCAAAAGTAAAACAAAAAGGCTTAAGTGTCTTTATGCAAAATATAACACAATATTATAACATATGTAATAATAATTTTTTTGGTTGAGGGGGAGGCGAACTATTACTCTCCCAATGCAACCCCTTTGACAGCTGCTGCAACACAACTGCAGACAGCATTCTATGTATCACTATATGATCATTTTTGGCTATTTGGATGCTATTCAAAAGCAATATGCATTCAAGTTACAAGATTTGCGGGAATTTGTCAATTGACAAAAAAAAGTAAAAGAACATTTCAAAAGTAAAACAAAAAGGCTTAAGTGTCTTTATGCAAAATATAACACAATATTATAACATATGTAATAATCATTTTTTTGGTTGAGGGGGAGGAGGGTTAGGGGGAGGCGAACTATTACTCTCCCAATGCAACCCCTTTGACAGCTGCTGCAACACAACTGCAGACAGTTAGGAAGAAAACAACGAGGAAATGATGAAACATTCAATCAGCAGACCTGAACTTTCTTCCTCTTCTTCCTCTTCCTCCTCTGGCTCACTCTCCTCCAGGTCGCTGTCCCGCTCCTCTCCACTCTCCTCCATTGTCTCCTCTGCCTCTCCTCCCTCTCGCTCCTCCTCCACCTCACCGTTAGTTTGAGGAACCTCAGGGTCGGCCTCTGTCTCCATCTCCTCCTCTGGTTCTCTGGCAGCCGGCTGAGCTGGCATGACTGTTTATAGCACTGTATTGAACAGTATAATAACAGCGGTGAGATCTCATGGCGTCTGATGCAGTAAATAAAAATGTTAACTATTACAATTTTATAATATATGATTATATATCATTTATATTGAATTAAATGTTAGAATAATACTGCATATTTTCCATGTTTATATTTTCATATTTCTTATTCACCTTATATCTTTCTAGGCTGTATGATTTCAAACATTGTAGCATAAAAAGAACCATATATGTCAGTACCTGAAGATGTGAAAATGATGTGCATGCCATGTACTGACCAGTCTTAAGACCTTTAGAGGACACTAGCAGCTAAGAGCACAGTATCCTGAGACAGCAGCAGCTGTTTAAGACCCTATTAAGCACTTTATGTTTAATTAGAAAGAGGAAACCCCATGCACTCGTCTGATTCAGTTCGTAGTATGATGAATTAGGAGCGAGTTCAACTTCACAGACTCGACGTGTATCATGTACGTTACATCCTCCAAAGGCCGCACTGCACTGACTTACATTACAAGCTCATTACTCGTTCTCCACATCTATAGCTCATACATTACATGCTGTGAGAGACATTACTAGTTACAGTCTCGTGCTGTTCACAAAGAATTGTGGATTTAGGTTAGTTATAAAAACTCGTTTTCCAACTGAACTACTCCACACTTCATTCAGAGACATGAAGTGTTCAGTATAACGCGGTACAGTAATGTTAATGCACTAGAGTGGGAAAAACAAACGGTTGTGCCTTTATAAAAAAAATCTCAATTACAACGTAGTAATGGATTAATTTAACGTTACTTTGGAACGTTGCATTGAATCTCTTGATCGCTCCATGAATGTTTGCAAATTAACTGATGCAAGAAACAGGATAACAATACACGACGGTCTTACAAGAGCATAAACAACTAAACAGCTTACCTTCTTGTCGATTATTGTTTAAGTCATGAAAAATATCACATACTGTCGACTGAATTTGCATATCAGGGCAAGCTGACATCGGACAAATCTACTTCCTCGGCGTTTATACGTTTGTTGAAACTCACTACCGTTGTGAGGCGCTAGCCAATCAATTCAGACCTCGCTACTTTTAAGAACCAATAGAAGCTCGATGGTGAAGAATCGTGGTCTCATCGATTTCAGTTCGGTGGTCAAACTGGCCAATAGCATTTGGAGCTGAAAACCCACTAACTTTCTACCAACTGACAAGGTTTCCCTAAAAAGACCGGCTTGAGATATTTCATAATGGACCGAAGAGAAATACAATGAAGATTTTTATTCAGTCAAGTAAAGAAAAGGAAACAGCAACACGAAAATGCAATTTAACATAGTTTTATTAAAGTTGCATAAAAGTGTAACAAAATTGGGCAAAAAACCAAGACAGTTTAGTATTGCTACAGGATACTTTTTTTCTCCAAAAGGTATGACCTGGAGTACATTTTTCCTAAATTCATATTATTGTTCCTTTTAAATCCAGTTGATTCTTTCAATCCTCCCGTGTCTCATTTACACAGAAAAGAGAAATCAACAGCACTACAAGGTGCATATAATGATAAAAACGGACGATTCTATTTTATGTTAATAGTTAATGCATCTAAAAAAAGAATTGATTGGTACATAGTCAACTTCCTTCCCTAGAAAAAAAAAGAAGAATCATTGAAAGTACAAGAACCTTTTATTTAATTCTAAAACTTCAAAAAGATTTCCACTTTTGCAGAGATTTTTTTCTTGCATGTTCCTCAAACATTATTAAATTCATTTGGTTGTCATAACATAAATGTAACCTAAGGCAACATCTGAAAGTAGGGAGATTGACTCATGTAAAATGAAATGCAGAGCAGGTGAAATAAACACATAAAATTCAAATAGGGGGGCCAAAGACAAAAAAAAAAAGGTGCAGAGAAAGAGATAAAACAGTTGTGAGTCCAAGACAGTTGTCATTGTACCTTACTTCATATAATTCACAAGTGAGCTCGGATGGGATGAGGAGCATCATCAATGAATGTTTAATATGTGCAGATGCTAGTGATGTGTTAGCATGTTATGGGAAAAGCTCTTCTAAACCACCTGCTGGAAATGTTGGATTGGTGAATCTCAAGAGCACTGAGAGACTATTAGCCCTCTTATTATAGTATTTGATTGGCTGAGACAAAAAGAGCAGATGGCTTCCTGGGAAAGATGATTTAGGAGAGTCATGTGAGAGGATTCATTCAAAACGTATGTTTGCCACAGACCGTGACACACTGCAGCTTGTCTAGCATGATCTCCAGTCCCTCTGGAAGAGTCAGTGTGCACATCTGTGGATGTGTGAGGCCCAAAAGCCACAGCTGTGGTTGTGTGTGTGTGTGGTAATTTCTCCTGATCCCTGAGGGTGGTGATGCCCATGAATTTCAGAGAGGGAGTGAGTGTGTGTTTGTGTGTGTGGCATGGGGGAAATTAAAGAATCAAAGCCCAAATTTTTTTCCTACACACAGCTCCCTTCCCTGTTAATACCACAAAGCCAAACTCCCTCGCTTTAAAATAGCTTTAAACACTCTACTATTTCTCTTTTTTTTTGTAATTAAAATGTCCATGAATGTTCCTGCACACCTATTCATGGAAGACGAGACTCAAAAAAAATATATTTTTTTTTATTTTTTTTATTAAAAATTGTTTAAAAAGAAAGAAAAAATTAATCCACAAGGCCACTTCTGTCTAATTCCCTCTGATGTCATTTTAAACCTATCGTCACAGTTTCACAAAGGGTTTTAGTCCATGTGTTCATTGAGAGAGGGAGCTTTGAAACCTTTGAAATGAAAACTAAATTACCAAATTAAAATTTAAAGAATATAATGCACAGTAATGTATACCAACATGAAATACATTTAAAAACAATGAAATGTTTCCCCCTTTACAAAAAAGTGAAATAGAATAAAATACAAATAAAATCAACATAATGAGAAAACAAGCCCTGCTTATAAGGATCTGATTGAATCTCCCATAATTTTGCCTCCACCTCCTCCCCAA